CGATCGCCGCACCGCTCGCTGTGGCGAGATGAACAGAATGACGGAGTACAGCGGGACGACTGACGTTCGCCGCGTTTGCGATTTTTTGTTGGTGGTGCTGCCAGCTCACCAACACGACGGCCAATTGGATGTACGTATATAACCGGTGATGTTGTTGTTTTTATTTCTGTACGTACGTGGGAGTTTGAGGAGAGAGAGAGAGAGAGACGAGTGTGTGTGTGGTGTGCTGTGTGTGTCGGTGTGGGCGTCGTGTGCGTCGTCGTGTGTGTGCGGTGTGTGTGCCGCTCCGTGTCGTGTGGGTGGCGCTGTGTCGTGTGTCGGTGTGTCTTACGTGCTTGCGCGTGTGTGTTCCGTGTGTCGGTGTATGTACGTGCTGCGTGTTCTGCCTGCGTCTGTCGTGGTCGGGTGTGTGATGCTATTCGTGCTTGCCTGTCCTGCCTGCGCGCCGGTTCCGTGCGTGCTGTGGTGTGTGTGGGTATGTGGTCGTGTGTGTGTGTGTGCTGTGTGTGTGTGTGTGCTGTGTGCTGTGTGTGTTGTGGTCGTGATGTGTGTTGTGTGTGGTGCGTACGCTCGTCGGGGCGGTGGTGGTGTTTGGCGTGTGTGGGTGTATTCTTCGACTCTACTGGCCGGGCCGTCCACTGCACTCCGCACGGACGTGGGGAACACGGGGAGCGGGCCCGCCGCTGTCGTGCGGTCCTACACATGTGAAGAATGCTTGTAAATAGCTTATGGGCGGCATATATGATATGATCAGCAGTACTAGTGAGTATACGGGGAGGGCGGGTGGGGTGAGTGGAGTGATAATATATCATAATAGGGTGGGAGTGGATAGGGTAGATAGGTACCGGGACTAGAGGGGCTTCGTGAATGGCCAGAGTGGTCCCTCCTGCTTCTCGGCAAGGTGTGTCAAGTCATTGGCGGGCCCGCAGTCGCTTTGATCTGCCGCAGCCGGCGGAGCATGTTCGTCTGGCTGAGGCACTGTTCGTCTGTACCATACGGTCTGCTGCCGCATGTACCGGCCACACCATACACATACACATACACATACACCACACACCGAACATCACACACACACCACACCACACACCACACACCCACAGGCACACACACACACATACACAACACACCATACGCACAGACACACCACACACAGCACACACACATACCACACGCACACACATCACACACATACACACACCACATACGCACAGACACACAGCACACACATACCCCACACACACACGACACACACACACATACACATACACACACGACACACACACACGACACCACGGTGTCCGCGCGCGTCGGCGCCCCAACACACACACACAACAGCCCACACACACACAGTGGCCAGCCAAATAACACACACACACCACATACACACACACAGCACACACACCCCACCACGGGCATCCGCACACACACACCACCACCACCACACGCCCGGCCGGGCGTGGGCCCACACACATAACACACACACAACACACACAGCACAACAAGCCACACACACACACACAACACACAACCGAAGAGAAACCGGGGCCCGTTGCCCCAGGCGCCGTGTGTAGTTCTGTCAATGATTCAACCTTTCGCGCGTCTGTTGGCGGTATTTCCACGGAATAGCTTACGACACACGGCCACGCACGCGTCGTCGTCTCTCCTCCTCACGAGCGCGAGCCACACATCACAGGTGGCCGCCCCGCCGCACCACAGGGCCGGCACACAGGCACGACGCAACAGCCACGACACACACAACGCACCGAGCGCGCACACGCTACCAACACCCCACACAACCCAAGCCCCGAAACACACACACATACATCACGCACGCCGTACCCAAGACAACGCGACGATGGAGCTTGGAAACCACTTTCCTCGCCCCGCCACGCTAACTGTCTTTGTAATTCTGCAGGTTTGACACATGCATTGCCCTTTCTTGCATCGCAACTCATGCATAAACGAGTCGGGATCGACGCTAACGAATGTTTCTGCACAACACCCAATCATCTGATATGCTATATACACCCAATCATCCCTGAATGTGTAATATCAACACAACTAGTATGGGCAATGTCCCACGAACCCGACAACACTGATTATTATCAACCTGAATAATCAGCCATCAGATTGTTTACCAAATACATACTAATCCCTATACTGCCGTTTATAAACATCGCTAATCGCGGCATGTGTACTCACCCCACTACACACAATAACCTATAGTCGTTATAATACACAACAATATGAGTGTATATAAACACAATAATCATGACGTCGCTTTGCTAAACCACAATAATACTGGTGTGTTCTGCTAAACGACGATAACTACTTTGTACAACACAATACACTATGGCTGGCTTTTGTAAACACAATACATATCTGGCACCGTGTTCTCATGCACACTAAGCATGATAGAAATACCTTCGTCTAGATCTTGTAACAACGACATCAACACCATTCACTCAGCGATGAATGACGAAGACCTGTTTAAACCTCCGAGTGCTCGGAATCGACACTAGAAACCGTTGCCAGCTAACGCCAGCCCAGCTTGGTCGTTTAAAAGCGCGTAGTATACGCAGCGCGCATCTTACCCAAGTATATACGCATCAGACCGTAATGGAAGCCTCTTGCAGCTCGTTTTGTTCGGATATCTTGTTTAAGATGTATCGCATCGTGTTGGGCTTTTTAGCTGTGTATCGCGGCGTGTGTTCTCCTAACGTTGCTTGTTGAGTATAGGCGAGAGCAGCAGGTGACCCCGCAAGGTGGCGAAATATATAAATTTTAGAATTTTACAAATTATACATTCTCTATTTCTCTCTCTCTCTCTCTTCTCTCTCTCTCTTCCTCTCCTCTCTCTCTCTCTCTCTCTCTCTCTTCTCTCTCTCTCTCTTCTTTCTTCTCTTCTCCTCTCTCTCATCTCTCTCTCTCTTCTCTCTCTCTCTTTCTCTTCGTCTATCTTTCTCTCTTCTTGTTCTCTTTCTCTCTCTCTCTCTCCTGTCTCTCGCCTTTTCTCTCTATCACACTCACACGCACACACGTGATTGCGCACACAGACACACACTCGCGCACAGCACGCACGCGTGCACGCCACACCGCCCAGACAGGACACCGCAGTACACAGGGACTGGCATACACAACCACACAATACTTGAATTTCTCTCCTGTTATTTCGTATTAAATACCCGAAAACAATGCAATGTATGTAAACGTTGGCGTTGCCTGCAGGCGATCCGCCTTCGCGACTGTTTGCGCTGATAGGTGACTCAACTCCGACGTATATTTGCATGTTACAAAATTTTCCTTATTTTAGAGGCACGTGCTGCCAAGCTTCATTAGATCCTGCACGAACAGCATTCTCCGCCATTGTTCTCACGTCTATCGCAAACGGCGTTCTCCGAGCCTCGCTGTACGGTTGAAGATGCTATCTATGCTGCTTACAGCGCAAGCAGCAATACCCCCCCCCCTCCCCCCCGGCGCAACACACATACACACCCGCCCCCAACATTAGTAACCGCTGCGTCACACACACTCACGCACGCGCACGCACGCACACAAACACTCACGCACGCACACAAACACTCACGTATCTATTTTTGCATGGAGGAGCCTGAGCGTTAGATCTCGCTCGCGCTACCACAATCTATAAGTAATTATAATTATACCGAAACTCGTATTTACACTGGAAATAAACGCACTTGGTTTATTTTAAGCGCAATGAAAATAGAGCTGCCATCGACCTATTAATCATAACAATCAATTCGACCCAATAGCCATCATAAAACTCGCCAGACGTTTGATTTCATATAGATAAATGGAAGTTATATATATATATAGATGAGGAAATTTTATACAGAGTTGCATGGCTATAGGAAAACGACGCCGACGTTGCCTGCGCGTTTCCTGTATTTTATTCAGCATGTCTGTTACTATGACGATTCGCAATTATGCGTTACTTGCGTGGCAACAGTAACGTATAGTTTAGCCGAGTAGCAGAACTCGCCATCGAAACAAACACACGACTTGACGTTTCACGTCATGTCGTCTCATCTCACGTCACTGAAGCAGAGTAAAGCAGGAAACAGAGAGAATGGTGGAGTAACGTAATCAGTTACGATCACTAGAGCATTATACACGTCGCTCTATCATTCTATCTGTGGTTTATGGATCATTCGTTTAACAAAAATAAATGAATATATTACGGCCATGTGTGCGTGTGTGCGTGTGGTGTGTGTGTGTGTGGTGTGTGTGTGTGTGTGTGTGTGTGTGTGCTGTGTGTGTAATTTAATTGAGTTATGTATGAAGTAGTAGCAGTAGCAGAAAAAGACGATAGTAATACAACAACAATAACAAAAAGAACAACAACAACACCAATAATAATAATAATAATGTATTTTTCGCGATTGTGTAATTCATGATAACGAACCCTGTAATTTTATTTTGTTGTCAGGTATCTGGGGGTGGTGTCGGTGGCATCACCACTTCCCGGGCAGGACAACATTGATGAGATGTGCGCACAATATCCGGGCTTAGTTACTCAACAACTGCAGGTACGTGCATGCGTGTGTGCGTGTTCGTGAGTGTGTGCGCGCGTGTATATAATTCCTAGCTGTGGCTTCTACTTATGCATACTCAACGTGGCTACCTGATCATATCTGGTAAAACCATCATGGCTTCACCATCTACCTGGGATCATTCCCCACCTACCTGTGCTTCATTACCATTCACCTGTGCGTCATCCCCGTCTCACTTGTCCTCTCACAGCATCTACCTGTGACTCATGCCACATCTACCTGTGCGTCATCCACATCTACCTGTGCGTCCATTCACACTACCTGTGCGTCATCCACCATGCTAGCCTGTTGACTCATCGCAGCATCTACCTGTGACTCATACCACATGCTACCGTGTGCGTCATCCACATCTACCTGTGCGTCATCCACATCTACCTGTGACTCATCAACATCTACCTGTGGACTCACTCCACATCTACCTTGTGTCATCCACATCTACTTGGCGTCATCCACATCTACCTGTGCGTCATTCCCATCTACCTGTCCTTAATCGACATTAACCATCAACATCAACTAATCAGAGAGCACAGGCACAAAATACCCGCCATAAGAGCGGCAGCGTCGATTCCGACATCGTCAACGTCTCCGTCTCCGCCGCCGACGCCGATGACGATGGTTTCGTTGGTTGCAGGTATGCCGCGAGAAGCCTCACACGTTTCCGTACGTGAGTGAGGGCGCGAGGCGAGGCATCGTCGAATGTCAGTATCAGTTCAAGTACGAACGTTGGAACTGTACGGTGAACGCCCGTAACGGCACCGTGTTCGACTACGTACTAGATAAAGGTAAGGAATAACTCATAACTAATACTACTAGTTATAAAAAATGGTGATAATCATTATCATAATAATTATAAGAATTGTTATTATATATTAATTTATATCGAATATTAACACAAATTATTATAATATTAATTATTATTGATTCAGATTAAATAATAATAATAATAATAATAAATAATAATAATAATAATAATATTATGTCCCCCCCGCCGAGGAAAAAAGCAGCCGATCGCCGTAACTCTAATGACGCTGACCGCTAAAGGGCCACCGCACAGTCCAGAGATTTTTAGACAAACGATGAAACGATGAAGACGATGAAACGAGAAACGATAAACGATGTAGGTGGCGGGTTCATTTGTAGACAGATTTTATTTTATCGGTGATCCGTTCCAAAATCAAACATGTTTTGATTTTGGAACGATTATTTGGACGCGATTTTTGTGGTGTGCGCGTGACCTCAGGAAAATCGTGTGGGCGATAAATATTGCCACCACTAGCGAAACGTGGCCCGTGTCATCTGACCATTCACCCTTGCAGAAATTATCGTAGGTCGTTCCCGCACTGCCCTACAATCCGCTTCATGCGTCTCAATCGTTTCACTCGCTTCATCTGTTCATCGTTGTAAAAATCGTATCGTCTGGTGTGGCGGTGGCCTTTACTGATGAAGTCTCTGATTAAGTATCGGCCATTCTGATGACGCCATCATGGCGGCGAAAATGTCATGGAAATATCGTAGGGCGTTAATTATATATAATATTATATATATAATATTTATATATATAGGATATATATATATATATATATATATATAATGCTTTATATGAATGTTTATATTTAATATTGAATATTATATAATAAGAATGCTTTATATTTGTTATTGCAATAATTGTTGTGCGTCGCTCGTGAAGGCCTGCATGATGGTCAGTATAATAATGACCTGCGATGCGTGCTGGTCAATAATGACCACGTTGCTAGAAAAAGTCATGTAACTCCTTCCGCACGTCCGTCTGCTGGTCTGACTGTCTGACCTGCTGGCCAGGACTGGACACCTTACTACTCTATACCCCTCAGCCGTCTCCGCTCGCTGGTCGTACACATGGTACGCCAACTACACGCAGTTCCGGGATCTGCTTAAGGCCTATAGATGATTTTACTCCCTCGCTTGCCGCTAAGTGTAGGATGCTTATGTATACGAGAGCCTGCGACAGCGCAGGAGTATTAGATCAGGTGCACACCCTGGGCATAGATCGTAGTCCCGGCGCCACTCGCTCCGCCTCTCGTCTCTTCTCGTCTCCTCTGGCCTCCTTTTGCTCCTCCCTCTCATCGGGATTCACGTCGCGATCCACTCTTTCCCTCCGTCCTCTCTCTCTCTGCGGGGTCTCTCTCCTCGTCTCTCTTCGCTCTCCCCCCTGGCTCGGCCGACTCAGCTCTCATCGGCTCGCGTCCCCTCTGCTCTCTCTCCCTTCTCTCTCTCTCGAACTCCCTCCTGGCTCCCGGCGTCTCCTCCTCTCTCTCTCTGAGTCTCTGTCTGTCTCTTTCTTTCTCGCGTTCGCTCTCTCTCTCTTTCTCTCTCTCTCTCTCTTTCTCTCTCTCTCTTTCTGCCTGTCTCTCTCTTTCCCTCGTTCGCTCGCCCTCTTTCTCTCTCTCTCTCTCTTTCTCTCTCTCTCTTGCCATTACTCCCCCTCTCTCTTTCACTCACTCTCTAATTCATCACGAATGATTTCATCCCTTCGTTTAATCGACGCGCGTAAAATTTTACGACACTCGCGGATGCCACGACGGCGTGTATAGCATGTGAGCGAGCGCGCGCGTGAACGCTGGAGCTTCCGCTACGATCCTGTCACCCGATCGCGCGCCCATTTCTAATGGCCGCCGTTTATTGTTTTATGATATCAATTCGCACCCCGTAAATCGTCGGCGCAGATGCGGAAAAAATATAATTTGCCGTCGGTAGTTTCGGTCGCGTCGCTGGCTGGGCGGAGGTCGGATCCGTAATCCGAATGCGATGCTAAAATTTTCGCGATAATTTCACGGCTTTACGATGGGGCGAGACTGATCGTAGTTAAAACTCTCGACCATCCCGCCGTAGAATTAATTACCCAGCCCCGCCGAGGACAGCTCTTGCATCCGTGTGTTCCTGTATTACATACATACACCCCGCCGTGTAAGCCTCACCACGCCCTCGAGCACGCGGGAGCGAGCTCAGCAGTGAGCTATTGTTGCGATGGGCCATATAGACATTAGGCCATATTCTGTTTAGAGGGATATAAATATATAAATGCGTAATTATTTAGTGCGGAATATAAGTACATCTGGGCAGTGTGTAGTCACCGCTGTGCAACGATGAGATCACGTGATCGTGTCGGCCTCGTGATGTAGTCTTTGATCTTCAGCCGCGGTTTTGTTTGGAGGCGGAATCGGACGCAGCTTTGTTTGTCAATTATGTGCAGGATTGCCTGATAATGATGTGTGTTCTGTCTGCGTGGATGTAAATATATATACTCATGATGAATTAACGGAATCAGTACATATTTATTATCCGTAGTTATACTCTCCCGATTGCCATCAATAAAATTACAATGATATCATTACGCGGTTTATTATAAGTAAGTATAAGTAAATAAATAAATTATATATATATATATATATATATAATAGCGTATCGTATTTTATCTCAAAACAATTTACCCGGTTACAGAACAATTAATAATTTTATTGTTAAAGGTTAGATGGTTAAAATATAGTTGGCGATCTACATTGGTATATATTTTGTAAATAAACTGCACAGTATATAAATAAATGCGATACGTGCGTGCGTGCGTGCGTGCGTGCGTACGCGCGCGTGTATAGGATTAAACAAACGTTTGCCCTTACCATCGGGTTTACAACCAACGCGACACTAATCAACAAGCAACGACAATCACCGACAACACAATAAAACCTAACCGGCAATTTCGCCAAAAACACATTCGACCAATGACCACCCAGGGACAATCAATGGCCTCGAAGAGGCGACCAATTAGCGTGTAGTTGTCATCTTCGTTCCCACGTCGTCATCAGCAGTTCGATGGTGCAACAACTTCGTTGTCGGACAAACCCCGCCGCGTACACCTAGCCGTGTATACCTGCATCATCACCTGAGCGGCGTCATACGTTTAACCCACCGTTCCCGTCGTCTGCTCACACGCACATTTCACACGCCGACGTCGTGAGAGAAAAAGCGCGCAGATCACGTACGATTTGCGCGACTATTGTCGTTAAGCAAGCGAACAAGATCGTTGGTAACAACAACGTCGTTAGACCTACATCGTCAATGTACGTCGTCGTCGAGCAGCGACAAACAAAGTGTCTGGTTGGGAGTCGGTGGAAACGCAACAGGGTCGTTAGTAGACTTACGTGTATACCTGCATGCGTTTATACCTGCGTGTATACCTGCATGCGTGTATACCTGCGTGTATACCTGCGTCTATACCTGCGTGTCGTAGCCCTCCGTGAATAGTCGCTGGTTGGAGAGAATAGAGTTGTCGGCCAGCTAGACTCGGTCCTTACCTGCAAACACATCGTTAAGCGAACAGACGTCGCTAGGAGAGTGTGTGTGTGTGTGTGTGTGTGTGTGTGTGCGTGTGTTGTGTGTGTGTGTGTGTTGTAGTGTGTGTGTGTGTGTGTGTGTGTGTGTGTGTGGTGTGTGTGTGTGTAGTG